TAGGCCTAGAACTCCACGACTCAGAGAATAATTTCAAAAAATGCCTATGAACAGCTAGCTTCATTGGGTTAGGTTCCACCACTCTAACCCCATCATCCACAACTGAATCAAGGAGGTTTCTTCTTTGCCTAGAGCTAGCCATCAAATGGAAAAACCTTGTATTCTTGTCCCCACACTTAGCCCACAGCATTCTAGATTTTTGATGCCACAAACTCTCCTTCCTTCTATGCAAATTCCAAACTAGCCCTCTGAATACTCTCCTTGAATTTGCTTCTGTTTCTGACAATGCTCTTTCTTCAGCCACCAAATCCAAAGCGTGTAAATCCTCTTCTGTTTTCTTAAGTTCTGTTTCCACATGACCAAACACCTCAAAATTCCATCTTCTAAGACTGGCTTTGAGAGAGGCAAGCTTCCTCAACAATCTAAACCCCGCCCAACCCTGTTGAACTTGAACCTCCCATGAGCTTTTCACTGCTGATATGAAATTAGGGTGAAGTAGCCAAGCATTAATAAATTTGAAAGGTTTAGGGCCCCAATTCCTCTCATCCTCCTTTATCATGACAGGACAGTGATCAGAAATCGTTCCGGGCAGTCCCCACTGCTTGAAGGAGAACTGCTCAAGCCACCTACCCTCCAGAAGGAACCTATCTATCCGACTCCATCTCTCCCCGTCAAGAGCATTACACCACGTGAATCTTCTACCCTTCATGGGCAAATCAACAAGATTCAACTGATCAATCAACTCATTAATCATTCATACCTCTTTCCCTTCTGGAGCACCCCTTCCTTTCGCTGAGGAATCTAATCTCATTAAAATCTCCACCCAAACACCAGGGAGTCGGGTAAGAGATTTTCAGACTCTTTAAAGATTCCCACAATTAACTTCTTTTACCTACATCGTTAAGGGCATAGACATTCACCACCGAGCATTCAAAGGACTGACCACAGATACCTGATAAAAGGATGAAATTTCTGGAGCCACAACAATCAACAACCTTGAATCTGTCAGGGTGCCAGATACACAGTAAACCTCCAGCCTTGCCGTCAGCATCTACTCCCATATACTCCATTTTATCGAAAGGCCAAATAGATTTAATGAACGTTACCTCCAGATTACTTCTCTTGGTTTCTTGAAGTAACACCACATCCACCCCTCTTTCTTTTAAAATGTTCCTAACTTTACTCCTTTTCTCTGGCCTACTTAGACCACGCACATTCCACGACAATATCTTCATAAAACAGATTTCAAAACACCTAAACTCCTACACTGGGTATTCAGACTTCATCTGCCCGAACTCCATCTGAAATCCTCTCCAAATCTCGAGTTTCTAACTGTACAATCTGATTTGCCACGATATCCTCCTTTCCACCAAAATCAATGCCTAACTTTTTCCCAAGTTGTATTGTTGCTTCAGCCTCCTTCATCAGATTGCCCTTTTTTCTGCTTGATTCACTGAAAGCTGAGTGTGAGCTGGAAATTGCAGCAGTTGTAGCTCTGAAAATGGCACCCCTACTGAAGCTTTGAGGTAGAATTCTACCTTGCTGGAGAGCCGTACCACCCTTTTTGGCTGTACCACTCCTCCTTACTACAACCTTTCCTTTGCAGATAGGAGCAATTTCCCCCATAACTTGCCTGAACTGCCCTCACCATTTTGCAAACATACTTGGGCTCTCTCGGCAAGGAGCTGTGAACGTGCCACACAGTCACTCAAATTAGATAAAGAAAGCCCAACTGGCCTAACAGGGCTAGCTTCACCTTGGGCTCTAGGAATCGCTACTTCCAAATTAAGATTGGGCCTAATAATTTCAGGCCCACTAAAGCTCATCAAAAACCCATCCATGTGATTGCTTCCAACTAGAAATTGGGGCTGCACAGCCACCTCTTTTGAAGCTTTGCCTACACACTTCAGAGCATCATCATGACTACCATCCCCTTTTTTTGAATTTTCCAAGCCAGCTCCTGACACCCCTACCATGGGTCGAACCACCCTCCTGTCCCTTTCTTCCATACAGTGTGCAGTCCCCTCAACTGTGTCTTACACTACACTTACCATCTCATTAGAAGCTGCCACATCAGACCTACTAACACCTTCCATGCCTACCACCACCCTACCATCTTTGTCGCCGGAATTCATGGCACTCTGACTGCCGGAACTGGAAAGTAAACCCTCAAAAATCTGATGCCTGCATTCCCCAGATCTTAGACTTTTCGGGAAAAATAACTCTTCAATCACCCTTACTGGGTGTTGCTGCCCGTTGCAATTTAGCATGATCACTTGATTAATATACTCACACCTACGAGTAATGATCCTTACTTTACCGCACGCTAAAGACTCCAGAGAACTCGTGGCTTCATCCTGTTGAACGACTTCTCCCCAAATGTTACCCACCGCCTTGAAGGTGCCAACATTCCAGAGATTAAAAGGAATGCCATGACAAACCAGCCACACACACCTTTCTTGTTGAATGGTTTTACCCTTCACCCATTCGTCCATAGAATCACACCACTCATATATCCACTCCTCTAATCTACCCTTCCAATCCTTCAGATGTGCCACTGACTTGAAGGATAGAAGAGCTATACGAGCACCACCATCCTTTATACAAACCTCCTTCAAGCCTCGTGTGCTGCATTCTTCTTTAAAAGCATTAAAAGAGAAGAAGGATTTGAGCTTAATAACTAGACTTTCATAAAGCCATCCATTTCCAGCTTCCTGTACATCTATGGTTATCGCAGTATTCTCCTTTCGTATACCTTGTATTACATCAGCGAAAGATCTCTGACCATTGTACCCTGTTGTAGTTTTACCGTGCTTCCAATGCTCCGTTTGTACACTCTTCCCTTTTCTAGCCTCTTCCTTCTTTGGATACTGAGCATCACTTCCAAACTCTGCCAATCTCACTTTCAGACTCTTATCATCACACCATATTCCATCCGCTTTCTGGACTGCTACCCTTGTTGCTGTAACGCAGTCATACCGAACAAAACCAAATCTTGAACCAGTAGCTTTCCTCCTCTTATTTGGGATGAATACGTCCTTTACCACACCATAGCTACTGAACAGATTAAAAAGACTTTGTGGCACCATAGATTCCAACAGATTGTCGACAAAAACCGTGATGAATCCTGCACCCCTGTAGTGAATCTGTTGATATCTTGGCCTTCTCTTTCGGGTCACCGGTGTCCACCCTCCTCTCTCCATTTAGTAGATCTAACTTAAAACTCTTTCATTTTGAAGTCATTTATTTAATGATAAATTATACTTTTGGCACCAAAAGTGTATATTTTATGTCATTTTAAATATGTATTGCTAAGGAAAAGGTTATTTACACTTTGGTCCCTAAAATATACACTATCTAATTTTGGTTCCTAGTTTATAAAGGGTTGGTTTTTATTTTCTTTGAACTAATCATTGTAATATTATTCAAAATTTACTAGTTTGTGTAATATATATATATATTTTCTTTCATCCAATCCTTACTGAAGCGCATCTCCATTTCCTTTGCATGCAGTGTTCGTGAACGGCAAGTTTTGCAATGACCCAAAGCTTGCCAATGCCAATAACTTCTTCTCTGGCCTCCTTACTCCTCGAAAAACATCGAACCCAATTGGGTTGACGGTCACTCCTGTAAATGTCACGCAAATACCAGGCCTTAATACTCTTGGCATTTCCTTAGCTCGCATTGATTTTGCACCTTACGGCCTCAATCCACCCCACACCCACCCTCGCGCAACTGATATCCTTGTGGTCTTGGAGGGTAGTCTCTACGTTGGCTTCGTAACCTCCAATCTAGAAAACCGTCTTTTCACCAAGGTCCTTTATCCTAGAGAAGTTTTGTATTTCCAGAGGGTCTCATTCACTTCCAATTCAATAACGGAAAGACTAATGCAGTGGCTATTGCTGGCTTGAGTAGCCAAAACCCCGGTGTCATTACCGTTGCTAATGTAGTGTTTGGGTCTAATCCAAAGATTTCTGATGATGTTCTTGCTAAGGCATTCCAAGTGGACAAAAAGGTAGTGGACCATCTTCAAGCTCAATTCTGGTGGCCCAACAACTAGTGAAATAAACAAAGAAGAGAATGCATCTATTGTTTGTTTGTTAAACTTAAACATATATGATTTAATATATCACAAATAAATGGGTTGGTTATGGACGGTTTTCTTACAATTGTTTTCCTATAAAACAATAATGTTAGGTTTTATTCTTGGCAATCCCGTTTGATAAAACTCCTTTCAGTTGTATTTATTTTCGCACTTTTTATTTCAGTGAGGCTATGAGTGTTTAGATGCGAATCCAACCCGAATTGTGCTTTTCAGAGAAGTTTGTGATGCTAATGTTTTCAAGATTGCCACTTCACTGATTATGACGGGGATCGAGCTGCCCGGTCAGCTTGCAGGGGTCGAGGCGGCAGCGTCCCTTGGCGGGTCCGGGGCAGCGCCACGGCGGGGTCGAGGGGCAGCGCCCTCGAAGTAAAATGCAAAAATGCATTCCAAGTTGCCTGTCCGCTCGAGCGGACATTACCACGCTCGAGCGGAGAATCCCTGGTTCCAGCAGTTTTGGTCGCCTGCAAAAGTACTGAGATGTGTGATTTCGCGCTCGAGCGGGTTCTCTAGCGCTCGAGCGGACCTCTGTTATATCATGCGCATATTTTGCTGAAGACGCTCGAGCGGGCTGTTGGGCGCTCGAGCGGAGATCGCGGGACAGATTCTATAAATTCGCGTGTTACGTCAGATTTTAAGATTACTACTCCAGATCTTCTTTTTGGGTTCTAGGGTTTATATCTGGGGATACTTTGTGAGTTTTCTTTGATGTTTTGATCGAGTATTCAACTCATGTTTTAAAAAGTATACATCAAAGGTTTTGTTTGTTCTACAAAAGAGAGAGTTGTTCTTCAGTGGATTCTGAAGAATTCGAACTTGAAGCTTTGCTGGATTCCGGGGTGGCTCATCGTAAAGACAATTCCGAGGTGAAGACGGGTTGGAAGAGGCACATAGAGGTTGGTTCAATTAGGCGTGGATTCGCTAGGTAATTGAGAGTATACCTGTGTAATTCGTATAAATCTTTTTAGTGGATTGTTTTGTGGCTGTTGCCCGTGGTTTTTTGATCACAGTTGGAGGTGTCCAATTGTGATTTTTTCCATGTAAAATCGTTGTGTCTCTTTGTCTTGATTGCTTGATTGGGATTGTTATATTCTGCTTAAAATTGATACATAATCACAAATCAACATCTAGGGGATTTCTAGTTTTTTCAAATAATAATAATGAAGTTTGTTAAATAGTACTCTATGTCTCTCATATATTGATGACAATCTCTTGGTCTTTCTTCAGTCTCTGATACCAATAGCTAGGAGGCAACAACGAGGATACATTAAAGGAACTTCCATGTGTTGAACCATTTATGGTTCCTACTTCACTAGTAAAAGTGTTACTATGAAAAATTATAATTTACTAATGTGAATTTGACATACAAGGGATGCTACTTAAGGTTTTTCAATGCACTAGAAAATATGATTCTCACAATTTTTTGCAACAAAATTATCAATAACGTCGATTGAACTTTGCAAAGATCACCAACACCACCCAGTAGTATCCTTTGTGAGCCACCATCACCACCACTACTATACGACTATTTCACCAACTCCACTGATCACACCACCATAGAGCTACTTATACTGACTCCAAAATTCTTATATATATATATTGAATAGTAGAAATGTCCATTGATGTAAGTCAAATGGCACTTACAGAAGAAT